GATTAATTAGGCATTACAATAACAATCAAGACTTGCCAACCAACAGTTGTTATTTTCATTAGTCCTGGGCTTTGGTCAGTTTCATACATTCAGTGCTAAAAGTGAGGCAAAATAAACCGCACAATGATCTGATTTCAAACAGAGAACAAAAAAAAATAAAAGATCTGCTCAGAAATCACTTCTATATGATGTCTAACATTCTGGCACTCTTGATGCAAACAGCATTAAATCAGTAGTTATAACATCATATTCCATTTTACATTGCGTATATATATATATTTAATACTGCTGCCGATGTATTAAAGTCCTTCTCTAGTTTTGATGTTAAAAATAAACACAACTGGAATGATATTTATAGCAACTAATCCCCCAATATAATAGGATACTGTCTGCCTCTCGGTTAAAGTCTAGCCATAAAGCAATAAAAATAAAGGCACAAAAGCTAAACAATCTTTGCACTGAGCTGTCATAGAGAACATGTGGAGTCTGTGTTAGATCATGCTGAACCGTTACACATTCAGAAACTAGTTTGCTTGAACTGTCTCTAGAGTTATTCTAAAACAGAGAGAAATACAACAACAAAATTCTATGTTCAGATAAAAACAGCCTAGAGTTTAACTGGAGATGAAAAGAGAGAAAATGAGGTAGACTTCTGTGTAAACACAAAGCAAATTATTACCGAAGACTAATAAAACAAAACTACGAGGACCTAACACTGTTAATCTTTAGGAAAATAAACGGAACGGAAAAGTACGACTATGTGTAACTGAAGGAGGTAGTTCTAACGTACGAGAACACGAGTCGGTGAGTTTGATGAGCAAACAGTCAATAGATTCAGTTAATGGTCAATGCTTCCCTACAGAATAACATCAAATACACTTATTTGGTTCGTTCCCTGAGAGAAGTTCATCCTGAGAAGAATTGTGGGTAGAAATGTACAAAAATACACTGTATAAATCTGTAGTCACTGTATGAGGTTTGGGATCTGAGTCTGTGCTATGTCTGTCATTTGGTCAGTTTCTTTCTCTCAGATTGTTGTTCTTGGTCTGTGCACTTGATTAAATATGATGCGCACACACACACACACACATTCATAGGGCTGTTTCACAGCATGAGCGTCGAACTTCACGCCATCACACTTCTAATGGCTTCAAACACAGCCGGTCTTTGGTATAAACATACCAAAACACACACGGTTAGTTTACGCCCTCCAATGTGTGACACGCCGTTTGATTTGTGAACACACATTGTGCGATCGTCAGAGCCGACGGCTGGGAACAGTCATGTGATGCTGCTTTGAATCTTTTACACATTCAGTATCGTCAGAGAGCCGTCGTCTTGTCATTATAGACCTCAAGTGGAGGATGAGCGCCGGTTCAAGCCATAATGTGAGGCAACACTCGGGTCTCTTTTCAGAAATCTCTCTTTTCAGAAATCTTGCACACACACACGTTTCACTGCTCATTATGAAGATAAAGAAACTTAGGACTGTTTGAAGCTTCAAATCTATAAAAAAAAAACTTTTGATTTGTTCCCTGCTGAATCTCACTGAAACAAGTAAAAGTCATATTTTACCCTAAAGTCAAAAGAAAAATTCAGATTTTAAGCATGGTGACATTGTCATTCTTCTCAATGATGATTCTCACTGCATTCATAAATCATTGAAAGTCATTTTTTTACAGCAAAATTTAAAATTACTGTAATAAAATAATTTTTAAAATCAACAAAGCAAACTATTAAGTATAAACACTTTAGAAATGAACTATTATTTCTTAATTTTTCTTACATTACAGTAATGAGAATGAGATTAAATGGCATTACAGTGAAAAGTACTCAATGGTAAAGAAAATAATGTCTTAAGATTCTAAAATAGGATTTATAAATTAAGATTATAATAATTTTTAATATTTTTTATTTAATTTATCATTAATTTCTTTTGATTTTGAGGTAAAATATGGCTCTGAGATGTTCTTAAACTGTTTCATGAGATTCACCCTCCCATTCCCTCCAGATCAGGACAAAGCGAGAAACGCTGAGGCGAAACTTTTCCTCATTCTCAGCGCATCAGATGCCAAACGCTGCCGTGACGTCACGCTCTATGAATCCTTTTGTGTTGCTGGAAATCTTTTGTTGGATTTCTAAAGCTCATCAGTTTTTAAGGTCCACAGAATGAAAAGGGTCTGAAATTATTGCTGACAGTCACTGGCTCGTTCATTGACATTACACCGCAAAGCTCCACGGCATGGCATTCTGGGTAAACGATGCTTACTTTGTTCAAGTGCACTTTTGTTCAGTTTTTCATTGTGCAATGGATGATTGTAGCAGATTTGCTCTTAACTTTCAGATGATTCAGATCTCCGCCAGCAGCTTTAAATGATGAGATCTGTCTCTCTAAGGCTTCAGTTCATCTACATTCATTAGCTAAATGGGGGGATGGGGGGGGGAGTATACTAAACAAAGTATACTTCATTTATACGTGTACACCAGAGTTTGTGTACAGGGTCACCGTTCCTGGATCAACATATTTTGTTGATCCTGGAACAACATTCCTGGATCAAAATTTAGTCCTAACCCTACCCATAACTTATCCCTGAATTCCCTTGAATAACACGGATGTAGAAGCACCTAACCCTGGTATGGCACAATTAACTAAAAACACTTTGAAGTGGTCATCTGATTGGTTGAATTCTACAGGATGTCCAGGAGATGTGTGTCGTTGTGATGCCAAACCCCCTCATGGAAAAGGAAAACGCTGTTGTGACAACGAGCACATATCAGGATCAACTAAACGCGGGATTTTCAAACGTATGTAAAGTTCACGGCATAGACTCTATAAGTTACATCCAAGAGTTTTACACAGCGGTCTGTTGTTGTAGAGACATCGACGTTACATTTTCACGCCCCTAAACATGACGCAGAACAAAACAAACTGTGATTGGTTGCTTTACATGTCAGTCAGACGGCCTCTAGTCCTTAGCCATTGAAAGCTGTGATGGAGTCCTTCTGCCATCAGTCTGAAGCTCTGGCTACACGAGACTAGCCTAAACTTGAAATAAACTGTAAACTTGTCCCTCAAATCTGATTGGTTGATTAGAATGTTGATCCAGGAACTTGTTGTACTTGGTGAAATCACATTCACCTGTTTTCACCAAGTACATGTTCCTGGATCGTTTATGTCAAGTTTCGGCTTACAACCAGGGTTAGGTGCTTCTACATCACCTATCATTTCTCTCTAAATTCAGAGATAAGTTATGGGTAGGGTTTGGACAAAATTTTCAGACAGGAATGTTACTCCAGGACCAGCTAAATATGTTGATCCAGGAAAATGTCTCACTAGGCAATTTACCGTAAATTTCGACATCAACATAGTACGCGATAAACACTGATTTTTCGAAATTGCAAATGAAATAAAAATGATTGGAGTACGATTATTTAAAAGGAAATACCTACTCAAAAGCTTCACGTGTAGCCTAATTCAATGTGTTACTTGCCATTTCTTTGTAATTATTTGTGAAATGTTCTAGCAATTAACCATTTATTAGTTGTTTAGTAATCAGTTGTTTCAGAAGAAATGGGGCAACAAACTACCGAATAATGCAACACTATACGCCCACGTTGATGATCAATGGCGTCAAAGCTTAAGTATAGCTACTTGAATCAAGTGTAGCCTACAATGGATCATGCGCAGCTGTTATTGATGATAGCAAAATGATTCAATGCCCGTCAAACCACTACAATAATTCACCACTATACACATCCAAGAACAAACAAAAAAACTTTTAAGGCCGCTCATTTTTGGTTCTTTTTACATGACGTCACAATGGGAAGAGAAAATTAAGCTTTTGTGAAACTCAGATTTTCCGTGGGTATGACGCAACTTCCCGACAGAATCTCATCATTACGGTAATCATCACGTCCTCCACAAGACGATCACTTTCAATGAGGCTGAGATGTGTGAGGGAGGAGAGGGATCAAATCAAAACGCCATCATAGAGAATCAACTTCATCTACCTGCGCGCTCTATATAAATTACACTTCAACATTTAGAATATTTCAACATATATTAATGCCTTAAATTATCACGTGAGCTGTGGAACAGCCTGTGATAAAGCAAAAGACAGCTTTCCACTGCAGCTAAACAATGCCAATACGTTTAAATCAGTTAGTTAGTCCTCTCTGACTGAAGTTAATTTAGCTCTAAGTCTTCAATTGTTACAAACTCTTAGTAAGACCAGACGGCTGAGAGCAGCGGAGCTGATAGCCGCATATAAAACCATCCACCCACAAAAAAAACAAAACAAAAAAGATTTGTAAATGTCCTCACTAGTACCCCATAATAATATTATTGAAAGGATATAATGAGTGTGACCATATCCACCACCAGCCATAACAGTCCCGGGACCCGTGAATTTTGATTGTGAGAAATTCAAAATGCCAGAGAAACATTATGTCTGAATCTGGTTTAAAGTCAACAAGAAATCAATCTTGATCATATTTATCATACTTTCTTAATGCATGTTCTTGATCTTAAAGTGAATGTTTATATCTGTTATTACACAGGTAACATGATCACTTTTGCTTTTCCTCTGAACACATTTCAGACAGTAATATTGTGAAGTATTACGGTATTACAATTTAAAACAACGGTTTTCTATTTTTTTATATTTTAAAATGCAATTTATTCCTGAATTTTCAGCATCATTACTCCAGTCTTCAGTGTCACATGATCCTTCAGAAATCACTCTAATATATGATTTGATGCTCAAGAAACATTTCTGATTATTATCAGGGTTGAAAACAGTTGTGCTGCTTTATATTTCATTAATATATTTATATATATTTATATTTCACACACTACCATTCAAAAGTTTCAGAGGAAAGTTATCATGTTATCGTAAAAATAAAATGTTCACGTTAAGAAGAGGAACATGCTTTAAGAAAGCGAATCTAAACAGCAGATCAATTAAAAAAAGTCCCTCCTTAAATTTGTATTCCGGTTTCTCTTACATTATGGAGGTAAAACAGCTTCCAAACTTTTGATGAGTTTTTAAAACACTTTTTTGCCTTGTAATATTCACTTGAAACACACTCGCGCAGAGTTTGTTGTGATTGCTCAGTGAGAACACAGGCATGTACACACACCCCCATCGGCTGATACCATAGCTGCACGGGAAGGGAGGGTCTGGTGTGAGGTAGATCATTTCAGTCCCAGCTTTTCCTCCAGCGCTGGGAGTGACTGCCCTGTTGAGATGCTTCCTCCGGGGAGGACGACGAGCCCGACCGGCTCTCCTCTTCCTGGGACTGAGCTGAGGTGGAGGGCCGCTGGGGGTCCTGAGACGAGGAGGGGGACAGCGCCCTCTTGTGGGGACACTGGGCCACCATGTGTGTGACACTCTGACAGTAGTGACACTTCTTTGGCTGGGGTGGAAGGCCACACTCTTTAGCATGGTGGTCCAGACCTCCACAGTTATAACACCTGCGGAAGGACAAAAAATTGCTTATTTACATTAAATCATTATACAAATGACACCAATAAAATGTGCAATCAAATAAAATTGCGCGATTTAGATAGTATACGGCGCAGCAGGAAAATCAGAGAGGATGATTAGCAAATTTTCCTCTACCGATCAAAAGTTTGGAATAAATATGATTTTTAGTCTCTTATGCTCATCAAGGCTGCATTTATTTGATAAATTGTACAATAAAATATAACATAAATATATATATATTTTTTTCATATATTTTATTGGGCAGCAAATCAGCATATTAGAATCATGATCATGTGACACTGAAGACTGGAGTAATGATGCTGAAAATTCAGCTTTGAAGACTAAGTTACATATTACAATATATTAAAATTGTAATAATATTTTAAAATATTTACTGTATTTTTTATCAAATAAATGCAGCCTTGTTGAGCAGAAGAGACGCATTTCAAAAACATTTAAAATCTTAATTATTCCAAACATTTGTAAATACAAAAAAAACATTAGTGTAAATAAATACATAGCTCTGATAACTAAAAATTCATTTTTACAGTTTACATTACCATTGGTTATTGAGACCAGGAATAATATTAATAAAATATTTTTAAGACCATTAAGATGTGCATTGTAACATTAATTAATGACAATTAAGCAGACCCAGAATGCAAGCAAAATATATTGCACCATGTGTGTACTTGCAATAACGGGAAAACACCTCATAAGTAACACATTCAGAATCAGATGCATTGTGCTAATGAAAATTATGGAGGACATTTTGTTCAGTTATTAAGACAATAATACGCCAGAATCGTAATGGTCCTAAAAACAAACTTCTTTACATTTATTTCTTATCATTTTTGGATTAAATGTGACCTGGACGTTTTTGCTGAGATGAACTCAAACCCAGTGTTGGTCACTAGGGGGCAGTAGAGGACAAGACTTACTCCAATAACAAACATCTTTTAGAGAAATACTCCAAAAGTGGCAGTTGCAGTATTTAATAATCAAAGTTTTATCATATAGGAGTGATAAATAGTCCCAGCTTCGTAATTCCTACATTAAAATGTAAAAGAAAAATGCACATTGTATGATTATAGCCACACACACGGAAATAATCACACATATGATATATAAATAATACAAAAATATATATATTATTTATAATATTTTATAATATATATATTTTTTTTTTATACATTTAAATATTTTTTCTTAGATATGAGGAAATTGATTGTCTCTGCACATACTGTTTTCAGCCTCTAGGTGGCGCTGTGCTGCAGAAGATAATCATGTCTGCTTGCTGTATTAGACAAACACAAACTGGAGGAAACTGATCTGACATCAGTGCTGAACTGCACAAAATGGAAAGCAGTTCCATATTCTTTCTCCTAACCTGGCCACCTAATACACAAACAATAAATATTTGAGGCCTAATTTTGCGATCTTAAAGGGTTAGTTCACACAAATTGAAAGTTCTGTCATTAATTACTCATCCTCATGTCATTTCCTCATCTTCAGAACACAAATGAAGATCTTTTTGATGAAATCGGAGAGCTTTCTGTCCCTTGACAGCTACACAACTGACACTCTGATGCTTTATATATATGCTTTATATTTTAAAAAAGTATTCGCTAGTGCCTTATTTATGCTGCTCAACATACCCACATATACCTCATCCTGTTTTACTTGACCCTATATTGCCTTATTGTGTCTCATCGTAATTTGTAATTTGCACTCCTGTGTTTTCTGTACTTATTATGTAACTCTATGTTGTCTTGCACATTTCTTGCCTTATCTTGGCCAGGTCGCCGTTGTAAATGAAAATTTGTTCTCAATCGGCCTACCTGGTAAAATAAAGGTAAAATTAAAAAATGCTTAAAAACATTCAGAAAGCACATTTGAGCATCAAGAGGAACCGATGAGGTTTGTTCTTCAAGCTGGTTCAGTTGAGCTTATGTTTATGTTCACTGATCAATGTCAATATGTGAATAAAAGCCTTCAATTCTGTTCATGATATAAAGGGATCGAGTCTCTTCAGAAAATTTAGACTAAACGGCTCAATTCATATGGATTGGTTTTACGATCTCTTTATGAACTTTTTGAAGAGTCAAGGTGTCAGTTGTGTAGCTGTCAATGGAGGGACAGAAAACTCTCAGATTTCATAAAAAATATCTTCATTTGTGTTCTGAAGATGAACGAAAGTCTTACAGGTTTGGAACGACATGAGGGTGAGTAAATAATGACAGCATTTTTCGTTTTATCCCTTTAAAAATAAAAGGTAATATGCATTAATTTTTTGCATCGTTATAACACAACACATTGCATTAAAATCAGTAAATCTCAACAGTATCATTTCCTCATAACATCCAGACTCAGATACAAAGGACCATTAAACGGAACAATTACTTGATATAAAGGACTAAGATGATAACTTTCAGGTACAAATTATCACAGTACTCAATGAAAATACAGGCAAGATTCTTGTATTTAAACTGTTGTTTTTAATTCAGTTGTTCAATGACTTCGCTCTCATCAATGATGCATCGCTCTCAACAAGATCCCATTATGAGCTAATTTTATGTCCTAAAGTACTTGTTGTCTTTCAAACTGATTTCAAGCACTTATGAGATTAAAGAATTTAAGAATCTGTTCATATGAATGTGTTAAAGCATCAATTCAGGCATTATCTCATCTTTAATAAACTTCTATCATTTCATGTCCACCTTTTCTATAGGGACCGCCTATATGATAAACCGCTCACCCACACACACGCACGTACACTTATAAATAGCTTTAACACAACAGACTGAAAAGACTTATTCAGTTTGTTTTGTTTTTTTGCTTTGATCACCATGGCAACAGGAAGTAGAAGACTGACTCACAATCAATGCGAGTCGTGAACAGAAAAGCATTTGGCGAAACCAAGCTATGACCCATCATCTACATTCAAAATTACATGCTGTAATTCACGCGGCTTAACAAAACATTATCAATACGGTAATTGATTCTTTTATCCAGAGAAAGGAGAACCATGCCGTTTAATTGACATGTGAATAATATTGTGCTCTTTAACGATCAAAAGCAGCAAGTTTGATGAAAAATGCTTGTTCAAAAAGTTTTTGAATAAATAACCCCATCTTCCTCTTGTTTTTATTTATTTTTCAAATAAATCGTACATGAAGTAATTATATAATTCCCCAGCTCTATTTTATGTTGACTTATAATTGTATTATTATTATTGTATCATTTCGTTTATATTTTGAATGATAAACCATTTAAAAATAAATTAAATCAAATTGGTTTAAAATGTTTGCCTGACTAGATCAATTCCTTTTGTGGCTAAACAACTTCTTTTCCTTTTGTAGCATTATAAATAAACTTAAATACCTTTGCAAATACAACCATTAACAAAAGAAGTAAATTAGCATTCAATGATGAACAATAACTCAAGAAACTTTCAGAAAGAAAACATCAAGATATATAGGCTAATTAAAATATGAAACATGCAGGTAATTTTTTAGTTTATTTACATGTGTAGTTTTTTTTTAGCTAAGATTTTAAAACTTCCAATTATCGAATCTATGCTAGTGATTCTTAACAGTATGGGATTCGCACTACTGTGGCAGCTGCTAAAGACAAGAATACACCTATAAATTGATGAATGAAATGAATAAAACTAAAATTACATTCGTCCTCAAGATACCATTCATTGTAGTCCCTACAGCTGAAGCCTGAGGTATTTCATTTATGCAGAAAACGATACAGCACAATGTGGATAATTGTGGATTACTGAAAATAAGCTTTCATGAAACCAAACGGATTAAACTACATATCCCATCATGCTCAGCGGACTCACCGGTCTCCCTTTGGTTTGCGCTTGAGGGGCGGGGCCTTCCCTTTGGGGCGTCGGTCACTGCCCGAGCATGGGCCCCCGCCGGGCCCCGTGACCCTGAGCGACTCCAGACCTTTACTCGACCTCTTGAAGGTGAACTCAACCTGCTCGCCCTCCCGTAAGCTCCTGAAGCCCTCCATCACCAGCTTACTCTAAACACACACACACATCTTATTTAATACACATTCAAACGTACTCATATAGTCTATAATATCTAAATATGAATCAGATCAGTTAAATCTACAGTTAAATCTAAATATAAACAGATCAGTTAAATCTACAGAGATATCCATAAACATTTCATGTCATATAATAATTTATCAGGGACAATGAAAGTTAGTGCCAAGTACTAGAAATAAAAAAACATTAACCTGCATTACGAAAGCAATGTTTAAAAACACATTTCATCACTTTTCGTGCATAAAATACACAATTTTATGAGACCTAATTGCTAAAACCAAAAACCGATTTTGCTTATTTAAATATATGTATACTGTGAACAATCATATGATCAATAAGTCGAAAACATATGACTTAACTCATCAAAATAATTTAAGCAATTACAACTTTTTTATTAGTTATAAGAGATTTGACTCAATCTGATTATACTTAAAAATTCGAAGGCAGCAACTAAACTTAAGTTTTCAAGTTGAAATGGCTTGAAGCTTTTTACAGTGAAAACAGTGACTATGTCAGAATATTACAAATATTAAAGAATAGCAAATAACTTAATACAATAAAACATTTTTGGTTTAATTGCACCAAAAATGAGTGTAACTGTCTTTACACTAACTGCTAATAGAGTTAACTTTTTAATTAGATTTTATTAAATGTTAGTCAAGTCAAGTCATCCTCATTTATATAGGACTTTTAACAATGTAGCTTGTTTCAAAGCAGCTTTACAGTGATAAACATATCATTTAAGGTAACAGAGATTGGTTTGGTTTTATAGCGGTTCTTGAATAATATTATTTTCCAGCTAAAGTTAGTTTGTTAATACTTATAAATGTTAAAGTTAATATACTACTAAAAAATCTTTAATAAAAGGACAATTCAACAAAATTCTAAATAAAAAGCACCATATGATCCCCGTGATATATTCTTTACATATTCATATAATATCACAGAGCAGGAGAGCCTGAACTGTCATACAAACATGCAAATACTCGTAACATAAAAATAATGCGTTTGACTTAGTGTTTTACAGTAAAATACATTTTCAACAAGTGTGATATTAGAAATCCTCTACACAAAGCACAATCCCAGAAAAACACCATCCAGACATTTAATCATTTCATTATTTAGCAGATGCTTTTATCCAAAAGAGGAACATCAAAAGCAGTTTATCAAATTCATCAGTTTATCATACAAGAGCTTGTACAATATTCACACAGTGTGTTTATTAGTTCATTCAAATCCTTCAATTGATACGCTTTTTAGGGCATTATAAATGCAAAGTGAAGACCCTAAAAAAGAAATGATTGGAAATTATAACAGCAATAAATAATCTGAAACTGAAATGAAATTCCTTACGAATAAAATTGCCACAAAATCTGTACATCATTCTGCAATTTAGCATTGATTTCATTTAGCATTTAATGTTCAAATAGTAATACAATACAATTAATACTACAAAACATATAAGATTACACACACAAAAATACTAGGTTTAGGCATTTGCTTGTTTAAGACACACAGATCAGTCTAAACCAAACAACAGGACTTAAGTAATATTCATTTAAGTAATATAAAACAATGATTGTGTTTCTAAATACATGAACACAGCTGATTATTTCGATGCTGCTGCAACAGAAATCTGTCTCAAGATATCGTTGTGGTACATGATCATATGATTTCCATTTCAATTATTCAATGCATGAATCGAATGCAAGAGGAAAAGCAGAGGTAACAGGTATTCTCATCTCTCTAGTGAGATCATTAACAATCTCCAATCAGAGAAAGCAAGTCAATAGATCAACACCACCGCAGTGGAAAGAACAGATGAAAGACCATGTATGAATTATGCTCACAAATCACTTTTCTGGAAAGATAAATCTCTACATATCAGCACTAAATTCACATCTGGATCGATGAATGACATTTCCAGTAAATACACACTGTCTTCAGCTCAACATTTGTGTTTGTATATCAGCTCTCACTTATTCAACTCTCACTTCTCTATTGGCATCTATGATTCCATGAAGAACCTTCAACATCCATGGAATCTTTACATTCCACAAAAGGTTCTTTATAGTGGAAAAGGTTCTTTAGATTCATAAAATGTTCTTCACAATAAGAACAAAAATGGTTCTTTTAAGAACTGTTCACTAAAAGATTCTCCCCTTTTGGAAACTTTCTTTTTAAGAGTGTATGGAACAGAAACACTTTAGTTTTTGTCACGGCATCCCATTAAATACAGCCGTGTGTGGGGGAATAATGCATGTAATTTCTCATAATTGACATAATGAGCACAAAAAGCCTTCTGATTTAACACTTACGATGGGGAGAAATTAAAAATCCATAGCATTAATTGGGAATAGAGCATTACGCAAACATAATCGAAATGCCAGAAGCAAAACCCTTCCCACACACATATATTCGTTTTTTTCTGTGGAAATATCATATAGCCTCCTGGGACCCAAGAATAGACTTTTGTCCACTGTAGTGAACATTATATTTTAGTGAATTTCTCTGACATCATACATCATCCAGGACTTTTCAGAGATACCAAATGTTTGGAGGTTTCACCATGAAAACAACTTCTCCTTGCGGTCTTTAAAAATGTCTGACATTAATTTAGTGATCAAATGTAGCATTCTTATGGAAATATGATAATGTATTGTAATTATAATTTAAATTGGACTACTTTTTCAAATTGTATTTCATAAAACAACATCTCAGGAAAATGCTAAGGGGTTTCAAATAAAAAAAATACTTTCTGTTACAGAACAGGGCATTGATTTCAAACGTGTCCTGTAGAGGACATCAGGACTTAAATCATGTTTATCAGGGAGACACAACAAGTGAATATGGAAATAAATTATACATCAATATTCCTATGAAATATTAGATATTATTATTAAAATGTTGCCAATTATTACTCCAATTATTACACTTCTTTTTTTCATTAAATGTTGCTCCAAGAACACATTAATGTGCAAATTAGATACAGTGTATAGATACATTGCATTGAATGGGAATATTCATTTATGGCCATTTTACCCACATATTGCAAAAAGTAAAATGGTGTATCAATTCATTCCATTATTTCTTTCATAACATAGGTGAGAATAATCTTTATACAAATTTTGGTTGAAAAAATCCTGAAACCCCAAAATTTATTGGTGATTGAAAAAAAATCCCATTGTTTTTGCCTATACATATAATTTCATGTCATTTTATTTTTTAAACAACTTAGTCCTGGCGTCCACTACAGAGGACATAGCATATATGAATAAAATATTATTTTATATATGTGTTTTTTTTACCATTTGTTTATTGTGCTCTAAACAGTGTGATGACATGGAAAAAAACTCAATTCAAAAAAAAAAAAAATTCTAGGTCTCAGGAGGATAGGCTATAACAGTAAATAGGATTAGATCTTGGTAAAAACAAAAACACACCACACAAGACAAATATATCAAATGTAATCCATAGTGTGAGAATAAAAGCGTTTTCAACATACATAAATATTATATTTTTTTAATTTTGGTTTTATTCAAATGATTCTATAATGTTAACCAACTAGTGCTCTGTTCTGAGATGTGATTAAACCGGAATTGAATAGTGAAGACCAGGTTGATCAACGAATATTTTATATTTATGCTCTTATTTCCAGGTCAAAGTTCAGAGAGAAGCTCTGCGATGTTACCGACGATGATTCATCCCAGAATAGCAGAATTAAGGTACGTAATCAGTGAGCCCAGGAGAAGATGTGTGTCATATTACAGACAAACACGAGAGACGGAAGACAGAAAGCAAGAGAGAGAAACACAGAGAGCGCCACCAAAGGGCCGGACGTATTCCACATCACCCCTCCTCCACATGTTTTCATCCTTCACGGTGACCTCTGACCTCTCCCCAACCCCCTTCAAACATGCACACACACACACACACACACTGGCATCCCGTTTCCCTGCGTTAAATTAACAACACACTTCTGCACTGACTACAAGACGTACACGCAGTATTTGATCTGCTGACACACACTACATCACTCTACACACACCCCTGATAGCAGCCGGATATGAGCTCAGTGTGTGTGTGTGTGTGTGTGGAGCTCTTAACATTGTGTGTAAAGTGCACATGGTCTGATAGAAATACAATTCATTTTACATTCTAGAAATGACTTAGTTTGAGGATGATTATGTTTTTAAATGTGTGTGAATTTAGAATTAATTTCTATAAGAAAAAAACATTTAAAAAGAACAAAGCAATTTAATCAAAGAGATTATTTAAATACTGACAATGATTTATATTTGTCTCCATTTAAATGATGAATTTACATAAATTCATTTAAAATTTTATACTAATTTTAAAACTACAGTTTCTGCTCATCAAATTGTGCTTTGCTAGTTTGTGTTCATTAGTTATATTAAAACATTCTGAAAAACATTTTGATTACTTACAAAAAGGTCTTATTTGTTAACATGCATTACCCAACATGAACTAACAATGAGCAATATATTTTTACAGCATTTATTAACCTTTGTTAATGTTAGTTAATAAAAATGTTTATGTTAGTTCACAGTGCATTAACTAATGTTAACAGATTTTGGTCTTAAAAATATATTAGTAAATGTTGAGATTAACATTAACTAAGATTAATAAATCCTGTAGAAGTATTGTTCATTCTTAATTCATGTTAAATTATCTAACAAATGAAACTTTATTTTTAAGTGTTATGTGCATTTTTAACTTATTGTCTCTTATTGAAAGTTTGCTTATTTTTGGAAAAACAAACATAAACCACTCTAAAAAAAAGAGGTAATAGATTTTGGTGTCTGGTTTACATTGCCCTGTTTGACTTTAGATTTTAAACTGAACACACTAAACTAACACATTTTCATTTAACATTTGTGCTCTTGGCATAATTTCTTATAAAAGCAACTAACAAGAAACTTCAATTACTGTGTCTGTGATTTTAATCAGG